AGCAGCAGCCTACCTGAGTATTCCTGTATCTAGGGTCTGCCTTTTGGGCTCCCCATTCCACGGGCTGGTGGAGGGGCCTGGGCAAACCTCCCACACTTGTACACTGCTTGGAAACCTCTTCAGCAAGTGACGACTCATGCTGCCTTAGGTTAGCATTTGTTTGTATAGGAGCATTTCACTGGGCTGTCACTGTCCATTTGTCTGTCCCATTCTTCAGATGGGGGCGCTTCCAGACCAGGGCCAATCCCTTCTCTGTCCTGTACTCTTTGCAGTGTCTGCACCTGCTGACTGCTGAGTCAGTGTTTAAATGGAAGGAATTCCCTGGGAGTATCCCTCTCTTTGGCAATTTTCAGGTAGATAAAACTAACATTGTCCAAAGAGGCACTGGACACCACCCCTGCCCCACTGACCCCTGTTTAAAACAAAGAACAGTGGCTCGTGTTGGGGTTCAGTGGATTAAGCCACCACCCACCATGCCTGCATGGCATATCAGTGCCAGTTCAAGTTCCCTGCTTCTAGTCCAGCTTTTGCCCGTACCCCTGGGGAGCAGAGGAGGTGGCTCAAGTCTTGGGCCCCAAAACCATCTTGAGCAACCTGGATGAATTCTAGCTTCCTGGCTTTGCCCAAACCCAGCCCAAGTCATTGCTGCCATTTGGGGAGTGAACCAATGGGTAGAAGATTTCTTCTGCCTTTCAAATAATTTCTTTTTGTTTAAAAAACAAAAAGAGACCAGGAAGTACAGACCCAGGACCTGCAGGTACACACCCAACAGTTGATCATGTACGCTGTGTGTGATGTGTGTTTGGCATCAGATGATCTTATTTCAGTGGTGACCATGGGTAATAAGCCTTCAGAGTTGTGTGGATGATGAAATTGTGTGTGTACACCCCCTTTTATATTTATCTTACACACCTCTGGCCCCACACTAGTGTGTAAAGTGAGGGATGCACAAGGTGGAATTTGAGTCAGTTGACAGCTCCGCAGGGTAGAGATGGCCCATCACCTCTTCTGGGGAGGAAGCAGCCTAATGAATTGACATGCTTATGTTAGAAAAGCAAATGGAGGGAGCCCAGATGTGTTCAGCCAAAGTCCTCAAAGAAAGCCACAGTGTTTTCCAGCTATTTTCTGACCGGTGGTTTGTTGTGGGGCCCTCATGCCCTAGGTGTTGGTTTTGGCTGGCACCAACTTCTGAGCCGTCAGGTCACAAGAGCCCATGGGCTTGTCCGGAGTAGCAAAGGACCATGCCTCGAGCAGGGTTGTGCCTGTGGGGTGACTCTGAGGGAGGGGCTTGTGGCTGTGTGGAGGCCAATTCAGAAGGTGTCTGGTTGCACCCCCTCCCAGTTTTCCCCTTTATTCTTTTTCCAGTCTGAAAGGCAGAGTTCCAGTCTCTTGGCTTGTTCTTCCATTGCCCGCAGTAGTCCCAGGGCCACAGTGTGCGCTGGGAACTCCCTTGGGAGGAGTGAGGAGCCAGCTACTTGTGAGCCATCCCTGCTGCCTCGGGGTGTGCCTGAGCAGAGGCTGGGGTGATGGCTCTAACTAGGTACTCAATTGCAGGACCGCGAGTTGCAAACAGCATCCTTTCTACCTTACCAAAGTGACTCCCAGTTCCCTGTACGTGTCAAGTCTGTGCCCTGTGTCCTGGGGTCATTTTCCAGGGGGCTGGAGGGCAGGGTGGGGGTTTGGGTGGTTAGGGTGTAGATGTTTTCCTGAGCTCTGCCTCCCTAGACTAGGAAGGAGTGCACAGGCCCCTTGGTCGTCGGTCGTCTTCCTAGGTCAGCCTGTAGCAGGGGAGTGTGGGAGCAGAAGCCCCAGCCCACAAGTGCATCTTGGGTCCACTCAGGTAGACCGCAGCTGGTGGGAGCCAAGGAGGAATCCCAAGCTGGAAGAACCCTTCAGAACCTTCTTCCAAGCAGGTGTTGAGCCTCATGGTCAGGTTGGATCTGGTGCAGCAGGCGTGAGGAGTGGGGCATGTCATCCTGACACAGGTATAGGGACTGGTTGGGTGGGAAGGGAGCTGTCAGAGAGGGCCATCCCGAGAGGATGAGAGATGCTGTGGGTGAGGGCGGCAGGGGCTGGCAGGGACGAGGGGGGCTGAGGTGTTTGGGAAAGTGGACCATTTCATGTCTGCGCAGTTGCTCTTAAGTTTTGGCTCTGCCCCAAAGGCACACTTTTTTTCCCCAACAGTCTGACAGTTATGCCTCCCCACCCCCCTCCCCCAAGATTGATTGATTTTTGTTGAAAGGGCAGATTTACAGAGAAGTACAGAGAGGAAGATCTTCATCTGGTGTTGGTTCACTCCCTGGGTGGCCACAATGGCCACAGGTGAGCTGATCTGAAGCCGGGAGCTTCTGGGTGCCCCATGCAGGTGCAGGGTCCTAAGGCCTTGGGCCGTCCTCTACTGCGTTCCCAGGCCACAGGCAGGGAGCTGGAACGGCTGGGACACAAACTAGCACCCATATGGGATCCCAGCACATGCACAGCGAGGATTTAGCTGCTGAGCCATCGCATTAGGCCTGCTGTTTTACTTTAAAAACAAACAAAAAACAACAATAGATTTACTTACTCATGGTGAAAGTTTGCTTTTTTCCCTTAACCTGAGACCAAACCAAACTCTGATAGATTGCTTTGCTGGTGGATTGCCAGTGTCTTACTTACAGATAATCCATGGGAAGCCAGATGAAGTCTCCTGACTGGGGGCGTTGGCGTGTGTGTCGGCGGAGGGGGATCCTGCTGTTCTTCCTGGTTCATTTGATAGCTGATGGAAACCACCTCAACCGGGCTGGCTAAAGGATAGTTGGGGTCCTTGGAGCAGCCTTGGGGAGCGGGAGGGCGCTCCTAGGATCCCTGGGGCTGCCTCGTTGTCTCCCTTTTCAGTATAACTCAGTTCTTCTCCTTGGTTTCCAAGAACTATCACAGTATCCTTCCAGGAAACGTCCCTATTTTTTTTGTTCTTGAACTAGCTTGTAACTAAAATAACTTGTTCACAAGGATAGCTGGCTGGGTTGTCTGCAGCATTTCACTGTCACTCACACAACTAGTGCACATTGCCAGTTTTGTGCCTGCCTCACAGTCGCTGTTTTTCTGGGTCGGAGGGCATTTGTTTCTCTTTCTGCTGGTGTGTCCTGCTTGGACCCTGGCAGCTGATGGGCTGGTGCCCCGGCGTCCCTCCGTGCTGGTGTGTCCGGCCTGGGCCCTGGCAGCTGATGGGCTGGTGCCCCGGCGTCCCTCCGTGCTGGTGTGTCCGGCCTGGGCCCTGGCAGCTGATGGGCTGGTGCCCCGGCTCCCTCCCTGTGGCAGGTGGGTGAGTACTGCCCTTAGGGAAGCATTGTCACGTACCCACTTGCTTCCTGGTTTTTTTCCCCTAAGGGATGTGAGTGGCCTCTTTTAGTCTTCCTGACCTTCTTGTTCAGAACTGAATCTGATTCTTAAAAATCTGGGTGTTTGACCTCTTCCTGTCAGTGTGTTAAAGCTCTTGATCTCTCAGGGCAGGTAAATAGTTTTTAATTTGTTTTGACTGTTTGCTTTTTACTTTATTTACTGTTTTTAAGATACGCATGATCTAGGGCCCGGCACAGTGATCTAAGGGCTAAAGTGCTCGCCTGAATGTGCCAGATCCCATCTGGGCGCCGGTTCTAGTCCCAGCAGCCCTACTTCCCATCCAGCTCCCTGCTTGTGGCCTGGGAAAGCAGTCGCTCCTGGCTTCGGATCGGCTCAGCACCAGCCGTTGTGGCCACTTGGGGAGTGAATCATCGGATGGAAGATCTTCCTCTCTATATATCTGACTTTCCAATAAGAATAAATAAATCTTTAAGATACACATTTTTTAAAAATTTGGATATGATGGAATCATTAAGTAGTTTTAAAATTTTTTTTAAAGATTTCTTTCTTTTTATTGGAAAGTTGAAGTTGTAGAGAAAAAAGATACACAGAGAAAGATCTTCTCTTTTCAGTTTCCTAAGTATCCACTCCTCCAGGTCTCCACGCAGGTGCAGGGTCCCAAGGCTTTGGACCATCCTCTGCTGCTTTCCCAGGCCACAGGAGGGAGCTGGATGGGAAGCAAGCAGCTGTGACATGAACCAGTGCCCACATGAGAACCGGGTGCATGCAGGTGAGGACTTGGCCACTAGGCTATTACACCAGGCCCAATCATTAATTTTTTTTTTTAAAGCTAGAAGCACCTTTTAAAGTACTGTACAGAAGACCGGGGGCGGGGAGGGAGGTGTTGGATTCTGCTGGAAGCACACACGAGACCTGTTGTAGGTGCACCGGCGGCCTGCATGAGGCCTTGCATCGGGAACTGCAGTGGGCCTGGGCCACAGCCACCCTGGTTCTTAGAAAGGACAGGATCCCAGCTTAGAACTCTCCAGAATGCATTTCAGCGTTGAGCTGAGTGGGGAGTATCTGTGTAATGGCCTCTTGCTGGGACCGGCCGTGAGCTCCAATATCAGTTCTAATTCTACTTTCTTGACCGTTTTCCCAGATGTTTCCTGTGGGCAGCAGCCGTGCCCTTTGCTAGAAAGTCACACCACAGGGGTGGTGGGTGTTGTGGACACTGTTGGTACGGACAAGGAGTCTGCAGGCAGGAGCTGGAAGACAGACTCACACCTCTGGAGTTGGAGACGTGCCCCCCAGCAGAAAGGCTTTCTGTAACTGCATTGCCTTCTCCTGCGGACGCTCTATGGCAGTCTGCAACTGGCAGGTCAGAGCTTAGTTTTTTAAAGATTTATTTATTTTTATTGGGAAGTCAGATATACAGAGAGGAGGAGAGATCTTCCATCTGATGATTCACTCCCCAAGTGGGCCACAACGGCTGGAGCCAAACCAATCTGAAGCCAGGAGCCAGGAGCTTCCTCCAGGTTTCCCACACAGGTGCAGGGTCCCAAGGCTTTGGGCCGTCCTCAACTGCTTTCCCAGGTCACAAGCAGGGAGCTGGATGGGAAGTGGGACTGCCGGTATTAGAACTAGTGCCCATATGGGATCTGGCACGTTCAAGGCAAGGACTTTAACCACTATGCTATCGCGCCAGGCCCTAGATCAGAGTTTATTACCAGGGAAGACCACGGGGCCGCAGGGGGTTACTTCCAGGTGCAGGACCGCTCAGTACAGCTCACTTGTTGGTGAGGAATCAGGTAGTGGGCAGCCGAGTGTGGGGGATCCTCCCTGCTTGGGGCTGGGGCACAGCCCAGGAAGCTGCAGAGCTGGCAGCTTTGGATGACCTTCCCAGCTCCTCCAGACAGCCCTGTCCCTCAGCCCAGGTCACGGCCTCCACGGGGGAGTGTGCCTGTGTCGGGGGTGGGGCACACTTTCCAGGAGAAAGCCCGGGCTAGCCTCGCTGTGCTGCTCTGGGGCTCTTGGGAACCTAACCTCACTTCAGAGTTTTAGAAAAACTGTGTTAGGGAAGATGGAGAAACAAAGGAGAGGAAATGGCATGCTGTAACTCTGACAGCAGAGCCATTTTCTCACAAAACAGAACTTCAGTGATGCGTGTAACGTCTTGGCAGGGTCCGCTCCCCAGCCCAGGCCCCAGGAAGCTCCTCTGGAGCTGGGCCGCCCTCGCTCCGGCCCTGCTGCAGGACTCTTATTCTGACAGGCCTGCCTCTCCAGTCCCGGCAGTTTCTCTGCCAAGTTTATGAGGCCCAGGGCTTTCTTGTGGGAGGACGCTGGGCTGTCTTCCTGCGTTTTGGCAATGATTAAAGTGAGGTTAGTACCAAAAACCCTTTCATTTTAGTCCCTTATCCTTGCTTTTTCAAACCAGATGGCAACCCTGTGTTTTCAGCTGTAATTAATTTCAGCTGGGTGAGGCAGAGTGGGCTTTGCTTGGAAGGGGCAGTGTCCCGCCCACTGGCCTCACTGGAGGCCACCTTGAGCCGTTGGACCTGCGGCACATGGCCAGCGGCTGGGCCGGCGGTCTCTCTGAGGAGGGAGGAGCCGCGCAGGAGCCTAGGGCTGGACAGCCGCCTTTCCCCAAGGAGGGTACAGGTCCTAAGTTTCAGGTGGTCATTAACAGGTCACTGCCAGTCCCGTGCTCATGTGACAGTCCCCAGACAGTGGCACACAGTTAAGAGGTCTTCCCGCCCCCAGTCCAGCTCAGGGTCCCCTCCAAGAGGGGAGGTGTGTTAGAGCTTTCACTTGGTTTCTAAAGAAAAATACAAGGGAAAGCAAAGCCTTGGCTGCATGGAAAGTCTGGGTGTTGTGACCTTGGCAGTTTGAGCACTTCCCTCCGTGGGAACCTCGTGTTTCTGTTCGGGTGCAGGATCCGTTTCTCAGAAAATGCAGGCTTTTGTTCCTTCTCTCAGCCTCTCCCCCCCTTTCCCTCCCCTTTGGGTGCGGCCTGCTGGGGGCGCTCACCTGCCAGCAGCCAGGGTCCCTTGAGAGCTGAGCTGCCTGGAGGGGCTTTGGGCAGCGGTTACTGCTGTGGGAGCCCTGGGCCCGTGTACCACACGCCACACATAGGTAGCCTGTGGGTCTCCTTCCCTCCCGTGAGAAGCTGCTGACCCCCACAAACTGGGGGAGGATAGTGGTGATTTTGGAGTCCGATACTTGGGCGACTCTCATGTTTCTCCTGGAACGGCCTGGTTCTCTCCACAGAGGCAGGTTCCGTAGCTGCTCTGGGCCGGCTTCTCTCTTGTATTCCTCTCTGGGAGAGGACACCAACGCGGACTGGAAGATACCTCACCATCCAACCTGGGGATTTGCAGGGCGTGCAAGTCCGCAGGTGGAACAGAGCATTCCCGTGGCCTCCGTTCCACTCCCGGGTACGCGGGGGGACCAGAAGCACGCACCTGCACTCATGCTTGTCTAGCCCTTCACTCACAGTGCCTGACGGGGTGGACGGGTCAGCACTGTATGGAAAGTGGGTGTTGTTCGTCCTTGAAGAGGAGGGACATTCTGACCCTCACTGTAGCAGCGTGAAGGAGGGAAGAGGTAGAAAGAGGAGAGGACAGTGTGGGTGAAGGCTAGGAGACAGAGCGCCAAGTGCTGAGTGCCCCTGAGCCACATGGTGGCTTTTGTGACGGACACTTTGCCGGCTGAAGCCCCTTCCGAGGTGTCAGGGTTTGGTTCCCGTCATGTGTGCACTGTTTGCAGGGCTGAGCTCTGCGGGAAAGCAAGGGCAGCTGTCCCGAGCGGTGCTGGGTATATCGGCGATGGGGACTTTGGTCTGAAAGCAGCTGAAGAGTTTCCCTCAGCCTTGATCTCTGAGAAGGAAAGGCATGGGCCTGCTGCTGGTGCGCTCCTGACCGGGGAGGAGGCCACTTCCGTGGACCAGGGCGGTGGCATCTGCCTCCTGGGCTCGGTGTGGTCTAAGTGGTGTCACAGGCTCAGTGGGTCACTCACGGTTTTGTGACACAGGAAGATGGACTGGCTCAGCTGTGTCTTGTCCCAGGTGTCTGCAACTCTGCTAGGAGGGTGGAAGGAAGCAGTTTGCCACTGGCCCCTCCGTGTCACACATTAGCCCTTCTCGGGACTTGGGCTCTGCAAACTCATCTTCCTTTTACAAAGCTAAGTCTTCTTTCTGTAACACAATCTGATTTGAGAGAATTAACTTCCCGAGCCTTTGCCCCGGCACTTGCCCAGGCATTCCGAGCGACCAGGGCCTGTGTGTTGAGAAGTGATGTGCATTCTGGATGCTGTCTGGAGGAGCCCTCGTGGTCCTTACAGGACGGCTTGATGACTTCCGATCGCACCACTCACCTTCGCTTGCTGTGGAACACAGCGGCCATGACTTAATGCAGCCGCTGGGGCCATCTGCTCACTGTTTCAGAGTCACGGCAGGAGATGAGCTTCAAAGGAAGTGCCAGCTTCCAGTCAGTGTAGAGTACTGCCGATGGCACCAGATCTGGGGCTGCCCTCTTGATTGAGAAGTCTGGGAAGTGGCTAATGGCTTAGGGCTGGACACGGCATCCAGCTGTGGGACATGACCCTGTGAGACTCCAGCCACAGAGCATACACACGAGTACACGTGGGAGTGTGTCAGAGCTCTAAAGCCAGTGTCGGGTCCCAGTGCTGGAGCGCGGCAAGGACACTCTGGGTGACCTCACGCTGGCTGTGTGGTGCAGGTGCTGAGAATTCTGGCATCTTTGATTAAAGGTGTTTTCGGGTCTGGCACTGAGTGCTGTACGTTAAGCTGCCACTTGTGACCCTGGCATTCAATATCAAATCCCAACCACCCCACTCCCCACCCAGCTCCCTGCTAATGCCCTGGGAGAGCAGTGGAGGAGGACCCTCCACGTGGGAGAGCAGGATGATCTGCCTTTTGAGTAAGTGGTGCATATAAGTAAACAGTGTGAGGTGTGTGGGTACGTACGTGCAGCTTCATTGTCGTCTCACTGGCCCCATGGCTCTCCTGACGTGGGTGCCTGTTTGGCACCGTTCATTCTTACCGGGCCGTGTACCTGATTGTTCATTCAGTAACACCCTGCCGTGGTGTGGGGAGGATGTTCTCTCCTGAATGATCTGTTCTTTTAACAGACAGCCGTCTCCCTGTCTGCGGATTCATTCTCTAGATGTCCATGCAGCTGGGCCAGGCAGGAGCAGGTCTCCCCTGTGAATGACAGAGACTCCCCTGCCGCGCCCCAGGGTGCACAGAAATGGGAAGGCAGGACCGAACAGAGGCTGTGTGTGTGTGTGTGTGTGTGTGTGTGTGTGTGTGGCCACCCCACGTGACCGCTTAGCCACTCTGCTGCAGCACCGGCCCCCGCGGGCTGCTGGGGTGGCTCGTCTTGTTCCCCCTCAGGTACAGAGGGGCAGCTGGACCGACAGCTTGGGTCAGGGGGTCTGGTATCACCAGCAGCCGAAGAAGCGCTCGTTTGGTGGAGAGTCTGTGGTGCAGCAGGACTGGAATAGAAGGTTTCCAGTGATTGGAAGAGGAGGTCAAGTTCAGCGAATGTTTCTACAGGACACACCTGGGGCTGACCTAGGAAGGCGTTGGGAGGAGGCACCGGATGCAGCGTTCCCAGGTGCAGGGGGCCATGGCCTCTGTGCCTCCGGCCTCTGGATCGTGGGGCTTTCCGACAGCCTTGGAGCCTCAATGGTTTTGTAGCAGATGTATTTTCCAGTGATTGGCTTTAAACATGACCTTGAGAAGAATCTGGAGTTAAGAAGGCTGGCAGGGATGGGCACTGGGTGCCTGCATCCCCCCACGAGAGCAGCACTGGCTCCTGTCCCACCTCTGCTGGAGCCTCGGGGGGCAGCAGTGACGGCCACCACCTGCCAGCCCAAAGCGGAGTGCTCCTTCCTGTTGTCTGAATTTGGAGAGTGAACCAGTGGATGGGAGCTTTCTCCATTTCCCCGCCTGTGTCTGCCACTCAAAAATAAACAATTTTTTTAAATCTTAAATTTGAATGTTGAAAAAGGAAGATGACACACACTACCAATAAGAAAAATGAAAGAGGGGCCCGGCGTGCTAGCCTGGCAGCTAAAGTTATCATATTGTATGCCTGGGATCCCATATGGGTGCTGGTTCTAATTCTAGTGGCCCCACTTCCCATCCAGCTCCCTACCTGTGACCTGGGAAAGCCGTTGAGGACGGCCCAAAGCCTTGGGACCTTGCACCTGTGTGGGAGACCCGGAAGAGGCTCCTGGCTCCTGGCTTTGGATCAGCTCAGCTCCGGCTGTTGCAGTCACCTGGGGAGTGAATCAATGAACGTAACAGCTTCCTTTCTGCCTCTCCTCTTCTATGTACATCTGACTTTCCAGTAAAAGTAAAATTTAAAAAAAACAGAGAAGAGACCAGGACTGTGTGTTCTTGCCATGACCTTGTGCAGGTTTGTGGTCACTGCCCACACTCCCCCACACCGGGAGCCTCTTCAGCCTGGTGTGACTGGTTTGTGCTGGTGATTTGTGAAGGAGTTGTGTGAATCGGGCACAGTTCTAGACCCTGGCCTGGGGCAGTGTCCAGGAAGCCCACGGTGCGGTCGCTTGCCTCTTGGCTTCACTCCGGGCCTGCTGCAGGGACCTGGCAGCGGGGAGGGCACTGCGGCTCCAGCCCCGTCCGCTGCCCTCCCGAGGGGAAGCTGCAGCCGTGGTTTCCCTGTCCAGCACGGGCAGGTTGGCAGCAGCGCTCGGTAACCGTCACCACTTCCCCTGGTCCTCATCCCCAGCCATCCCCCACAGGGTAGCAGAGCTGAACCTGCCTGTTGGTGCTGCTGTCACGTGTGGGCAGGCAGCCCGCTCTGCCATGCTCACCCAGAGGCCGGTGTGTCTCCCTCTGCAGGGCCAACAAGATGAGCATATTCGTATTTTTAATCAGCATTCATTGAGAGAATACATAATGACAAAAATGACTACAAATTTAGTAGCAATAGACATTTCAAATTAATTTGTATTTTATTAATTTCAGTAGCCTTCTCCATTCATAAAAACTATTCCAGGGTGCGTGTGTGGGGCACATGATCTGTTCCATCTGGGAACAGGGTGTGGTGAGCGTGTGCCCCTGCCCTGCCCATGAAGCCCACAGCTGAGGCCCCTCTGCTGCAGGGAGGGTGAGGCACCCAGGGCCCACCCGCTTCGGTCTTGGCTCCTGCCTCAGCTGATGGGAAGCTTGTGTGGGATGGTGGAGCCAAGAGGAGTGGTCCGTTACTTAGCAGCGTGGAGTTGTGGAGAATGGGACGGGACTGCTCTGCCAGCGTGTGCTCTGCAGAGGCCTGTGCTGGCCCCTCCAGGTCATCTTGGGGTCCTGGAGTTGGTTGGGTGCAGGGGAA